CACATACTCAAAGGGCTATACCTACGCCAGAATTTGAGACTCTCACCTGAGAAGAGAAAATCAACGTTCAAGCTTTCATCCTTCCGTGATTGAGCCTTCAAGCTAATCCATTATTGCCCCTCCTATGACGAAAAGATAGTAGGCAATTGAGATAATTAAAGCTTCTCATACGACTTCGAACCAAGTGGGCCCAGTGGACCCATCATGGGTGGGGCAGATTGCTTTAACAGCATGATTCAGTCCGAACGAGCGCGCCGCTGGGCCGTCGGCAAATGAATACACAGCCCGAAGCCGCGCTCGTAAACGTGGATGCGTCAAGCTTTTTCTATTAGTAGCAGCTGCCCTGGACATAAAATTGCAGTTTACGCACATAAACAACTAGTGGTGAAAGAAAAAAAAGGATGGAAAAAGAATGCATTAGTAAGGAGAGAGCTCTGTAAAACCCCCGCCTTCCGAAACACTACCTAGCCAATTTCCACAGTTTTCCAGTTTTTCCGTGGGATGCTCCCGGTCCAAGGGGGGGGGGGGGAGACTATGTAGCCAACGTAAAACGAGAAGCGAAAAATCGCGAAAAGTCAACAACACTGAAAAACTTTTCCCAATGCGACAAATTTCTTTCAAAGCGACATACGATCCCCCTATCCCAACAACGACCAATTACGACCCTCCCTCCCCAGCGGAGCATGCTGTACCATGTCAGAAAGGCTTTTATCGTTGGTCAATCCACCAATTCAAGATGCGCCACGCATTCTTTTTTCACACAGTATGGTAGCTGAGTTTCGTAGCCATTTTTCCTATACAATGGCACTCAGGGGCCAGAATGTAGAGGTCGATTACTTTACATTTTCAGCTCATTCTAGTACCAATCAACCGACCCTGGAAGGATGGACTCTTGGTTGTCCTGTAATCTAGCCCACAGATCGTGCAGGTGTTAAGCGGCATCATTTGCCACTGCAGCATATCTACTATCTCGTTTGTTTCGGAGCAGGAAAGGTTATTAATTTCAAAAAACTTCAGCTGAACAGGACACTGTAAATGAGTGTCGGTCACTTTCACTACTTCAAGCTTATGACGAAAGCAGGTTTTACGACTTGTCTTGAGAATCTGATTTTTCTTCCGTGACATTGGCATGCCTTAGATACAGATATGACCCTATTTTTGGCGTCAGCCCGGAAAAGGTGATGCTGTATTTCTTCTCTTCCCTAAAGGCAAGGTCTGCCATAAGGAGCCTGAAAGGCCGGTAGGTTGGGACAGGTCCACTCTGCCGACTCTTTGTAGTGAACCCTATGAACCCCAGGAGTCCGGAGGAGTCAGTGGAAAAGGGAGGTGTCAGTGGGACAACTTTGCACCTCGGCTCCTTTATCTTAGGACTTTTCGCCTCGAAACCTTGAGGGTATCCATTACAGGACGCACTAACTTTCCCCACACAATTTTTTGGATTTTCATTGGTCAGTGCAAACGCTCCTTTGATTGGTCCTTTATTCGGGTCGAAGATCATCACTTTGCATTACCTATACTCTAATTGACCACTTTCATGTCCGTATTGTCTGCATCTTGCCACCGTTGTTCTGGTCTTCTTCGGGGCCGAAGGCCTTGGACTTCGAAGTGACATGCAGTTGCAGCGACGGTGTCAGGCACGGCGCGTAGAACCTTCACCCATACTCCTATGGTGAAAATAAACACGCGCAGGGAAAAGTGGTTTAATAGTGCACAATAGCGCCAAAATCCAATGTCATGTTCGCAATTCGTGCATCAAAAAACATTATGGGCTGAGTTTCAAGCTCAGGTAGTATTAGAACTCGCGACCCACGGGGCGAGTGTGCTATCCGTCGGGGTGGTAAACATTTGTCGTAACTCAGCATTCACTTAAATCGGGCAGCGTTTTTCTCAGGATACAGTGAGAGATAGCTCTCAGTTCAAGTGCCAAATCACAGATCGAATCTGCTTCTCCCTTTCAGAGTCGGTTGACTGGTACCAGACTTGTTTTCTAGGACAAAAACCGCTGCCCTATGTATATATCAGCTGGCTCGGCTAATTTTTGATTCTTCCCTCCCGAAATCTCAATCATGATGCCACTATGGTTTTGAATAGAAGCAAAATGCATCACAAGAACGACTGAACCACGCGAAGGCCCTAGATTTGTCCTTCAGCAGTGTTTACGATATCTGAGTGCTGGGCTCTCTTAAATCTCTTGTCTATCTGAAACGTAGTAACAAAAAAGCTCTTGAACGGTTCTTGCAAAGAGCTCAAGCATCCAAATTCTACAAAGTTCATACATTGTGATGAGAAAACACGTAAAGAGCCTTCGGGATAAATTTTTGTAGCCCAGTATGGCTGCTGAGGAGAGGGGGAACATCACTTGTTCCCGTTCGCGTACCGCTGACCGCCATCCTTACGAGACCGTGTGGATTTTCCTGGTAAAGCTATTCGCAAGAGTGTTTGCCTTCATTCGGTATTGCCAAGAGGACCGTAATCGCGCCCGGCGCTGCTGGGCGTTCGCATGCTGCGACGTCTCGACTGCCATAAGGACGATGTTCCAGGTAAGTATATGGCTACATGCAGAATTAAGACCGAAGAACAGTAATCACTGCTACTG